CAAACACACATACAAACCAACAAACACACATACAGTAACTCATACACGAATAAACACACACATACACACCGCCACACACTCTGGTTCACACGCACACACCTACACATCAAAACTCATATACACACAAACCAACACACATACATAGACTCACACACAAACACACATAGAAACACACAAGCAAACATAGACTAACACACAAATGAACACACACAAACACACAAACATACACACAAACATCACCTCTATCACTAATGATTTCCAATTCCATTCCCACAAGCAGTCAGCCGATGCATCCATCCATCCAACATCATCCACCCATCATCATCATCATCATCCTCATCGTCACCATTTCTTTTCCACCAAAAATTTCGCGTTGATGACGACGATGATGCCAGAAAAAATAAAAATGATGATGATGACGATGGTGATGAAATCACCTTTCCCGATGATGATGATGATGGTGGTGATGATGATAAAATGGTGATTTCGTGCCGGAGAGATAGATCTAAAATGTGGAGGGTGAGGTGTAGAGGTGGCCAGTGGACTGGAGAGCTGCCGAACTCTGACGACTGCCCATCGGTTAAAGGTCAATTATTAATATTATTATAATCATTACTATTATTAATATTATTACTATTACTATTATTATTATTATTATTATCTTGCACTTTTTTAATATTAATGATGTCGAAAATGATGATGATGAAGATGATGATGAAGCTGAGAAAACTGATGATGATGATAATGATGATGATGATGATGATGATGATGATGATGATGATGATGATGATGAAGCTGAGAAAACTGATGATGATGATGATGATGATGATGATGATGACGATGATGATGATGAAGCTGAGAAAACTGATAATGATGATGATGATGGCAAAGACAATCTTGGTAATGATGACGTTAAATAATATGCAGGATTCCCGGTTGAAAGTTTAACCGGCACCAACTCCATGTCTCAGCCTATAAGTTTGTACATGTGTGGTTATAAAACACACACACACACACACACCACACAAATACATATACACATACATACACACAAACATACATACACACACACACCACACATACATACATATACACACACATACAAACACACACACGCATACGTACATACATACATAAACACACACATACAAACACACACTTATAAGTACATACATATATACATACACACAAACAAACAAACATACAAACATTCATACATACACATATACAAACATACATACAGGGTTTACGATGATCATCGTCTGCGTCATAGCCATTCTTTTTGCTCTCTGCATCCTAATTGTCGGATTAGTTGCCTTTAAATGGTCAGTTGGTTGGGCGGTTGGGGACATTTAGGGATGGGCAAAAAATTGGTTTTTATTTTTTTCAGAATTTAGAGATGGGCGTAGAAAAGTTTTTTTTTCAAAAAATTTGTGATTGTAAAGGATAGAATGAAATCAAAATGGATAAATAAATGAAGTAAGAATGAGGAAAAAACGAGAAAAAGAGAAAGAACAAAAGAAAGAGAACACAAGAGAAAGAGAAAGAGAGAGAGAGAGAGAGAAAGATTAGGAAATAAAAAAAGAAAAGAAGAAAAAAATTCCAAAGAAGGCACCAGATGGAGCGAAGTCGTTCTTGTCTGAAAACTAATTAAGGAGAATTATATTTTGAATATTCCTACAAGACAATGAAGAGGATGGTGATGATAAAGTGAGTGAAACTTGTATCGGTGGAACTACTTCTGATGGTGGCGATGAGTAAGTAATGAGGAAGTTGTCTTGGTGGAGGTTGTTCTGAAATGAGGATGGTGGTTATTTAAACTATGATGACGATGACGACGACGAGGATGATAACGTAATAATGACAATGATGATGATGACAATGAGGGCGACGATGATGATGCTGGTGTTGGTTTTTGTGAGGATGATGATGATGATGATGACAACGTGATGACAGAGATGCATTTGGCCGTGTTAATTGAAAAGAGAATTTAAAGAATTTTATTTTTCATTTCGCTATACCTTTTCCATATTTTTTTTATTTTTCCAAAGACGGAAAATTTTTCAAAGTTGTCTGATAATTTTGGGCGCGTTAGAAAAATAATTGTCTGTCGAAATTTTGAAATTTGAAAACTCCCAACTTTTCATGAAAAGAAATTTTTATGATTGCACACAAATACACACTACACAAACACACAAACACAAACAAAAAAACACACAAACACACACACATCTAAATAATTCACTAATTTACTAGTGTGAGAAAGAAACAACAGCGCAACAAGACTGATCATCATCAACAACAACAACAGCACGAAACTTCAATGAGATACGCATACAACCAACAGCTCCTGCAACAACAGCAACAACAACAACAACAACAACAACAACTTCAACAACATTCAAAACACGTAAACATGTACCCTAGCGATAGCACACCTCTCAACAACTACAACATCATCGGCAACCAGACCAACAACAACAACAGCAATGACGTCATCGTCGATAGTAGCCAAGCGTACCCAGGGTTCTTCCAGGCACCCATCCGAGCAAACTCCATCCATTCATTAGATGAGGGATTGCACAGAAACCAAGAAAATACATACTCCTCAATATCGGAAATCACCACGCAAATTGCAGAAATGAACGCGACGCAATTGAACCCTGTGGCTGGTGAAGCTGCGATGTTTACTTCAGCAGAAACAGCCACAACGACGAATGTTTTTAATGAGTTTGTTCGTGTTCCGTTGTCGTCACTACAATACCAACAACATCAACAACGTCATTTGCTACAACAACAACAATTACAACAACAACAACAACATTTACATCAACAACAACATTTACAGCAACAACAGCAACTTCAACAACAACTTCAACAACAATTTCAACAACAACTTCCAACATTAAGACAGCAGCGACCAGCACTTGTTAGCGATACAACAACACGCCAACAAACCATCCCTCAAATTCTGCAACAGCAACCAAGAGTTTCACAACAAAAACAACAACTCATACAACAACAACAACAAATATTTCAACAACAACAACAACATCAACAACAACAGTTTCAACAGATGAACGACAATAGCGACAACGAAAATTTACAATTCCTAACACAGAAATCGAAATTAATTCTTGCAGCTGGTGAGCAAATTAAAACGAGACCGTTACACCAACCACACCAGCCACATCAACCACACCAGCCACACCAACCACACCAACCACAGCCACCACAGCTACCACGACAACAACTGCGATTAAGAACGGATTTACTCAAATCGAAAAACACATTTGAGGATATAATATGAGAGATTTTTTTTTCCTTTTTTTTTCTTGTCCCTTTAATTGTATTTATGATTTTATTCATTATTATTATTTTTGTTATTATCATTATTATTATTATTATTATTATTACACACGCAAGTTTAAAGTAAAAATCTCGTCTGAAAATTATGTAATATTAATAAATATCCTAGTTAAAAAAATATTTTTCGCTATCATGTTGTTAGTAGTCTGTGTATATAAATACATTTTGTTTGATTTGTTTGTATGTTTATCAATTTATTCAATCTTTTACATGTTCATTCATTTACGGTTGAATAAATGAATGAATGAAAAAATGAATGAATGAAGGAACGAAGGAACAAACGAACGAATGAATGACTGAATGATTGATTGAATGAAGGAAGGAATAAACGAAGAATATTGGACAAAGAAACCACCAAACAAATAAACAAATGAATGAACGAACAGACTAATGAAAAAATGAATGAATGAATGAATGAATGAATGAATGAATGAATGAATGAATGAATGAATGAATGAATGAATGAATGAATGAATGATCTAATGAATGAATGAATGAAAGTATGAATGAATGAATGAATGCGCCGAAACATCTGTTGACAGTATTAAACAGTTTGAGCAGTCGGCATTGAATACATATACACACGTGAATGAATATGTGTGCATGTGTGTGCATGTTTGTATGTATGTGTGCATGTCTGTAGGTATGTATGTATGTGTGTATGTGTGTGCGTGCGCGCGTGTTTTAGTAGCGTTATCGATATATACATTAACACAGTTGCATTGATTGAGTATCTATTTCTTGTCTCTATTTACAATGTGTGATGCCGATACTACTACTATTATTATTATTATTATCATTATTATTATTATTATTATTATTATTATTCGTATTGTTATTATTATTAATTATTATTATCATTTGCGTTGGCATGTTTAAATTATTTGTATTATTATAAATGATAAATTATTATTATTATTATTATTATCATTATTATTATTAAATACATAAAATACATATATATTCGTGCAATTGCGCACATATGTTCATATACGTTATTAATGCTTTTTTTTACTTCTATTGTTATTGATGTGATTTCATTATTATTATTATTATTATTATTGTTGTTGTTGTTGTTGTTGTTGTCGTTGTTGTTGTTGTTGTTGTCGTTGTTGTTGGTTGTTGTTATAATAAAAATATGATCACAGACATTTCGTTATATATGTGATTTCAATTCAATGCTGACGACGACGATTATTGTTATATCGGTAAAAGTTATACGCACAAAATCAATATCTTCTTTTCTTGATAAAAATGCATTTACATACGCTTACTAAACACACGCACGCACACACACAAAACACACACACAATATATATATATATATATATATATATATATATATATATATATATATATATACATGTTTGTGGCAGTTGTAACTGTGTATGTTATATATATATTTGTTGAGTTATTTCTCTTTAAACATCTAAATTGTTAATGATATTAAAATTGTGGATAACTGGCAGTTTTTCTAAATTTTTAATGACAGGAAATGGATAAAGTTGAAAAGTAATAAAATTATTTTTACTTAAATTAAGTTTAAAAACACTCTTAAGAGTTAAAATTGTTGAAAGAAAACTGAATATATATCAACTAAATTTATTAATTTGTTTGAAAAAAATGAGGTTTTAATAGTTGAAACATACAAAAAAAATATTTTTGGTTGCATATGTAAGAGCAATAGTAGAAGTTATTTCAACAAGCAAAATGTAACTCATTCAAACATCTACTTACAATTACAAGAAAATTTCATCATAAAATACAGTACCAGTCCCAACATATCTTGAGAATCAAATTACAAGACAGCCAAAACTCAAACAAAAACAAATAAAATTCACAATGGAAGAAATTTTCAGAGTATTCTTCGACCTCCGAAACATCAAACTGAGTCGCGACGACGACACCTGCGACCGTATAAACCGACTCATCAGTGCTGTCCTCATCCTTCTTTTAGGTCTCGTAGTCAGCGCTAGGCAGTGTCTAGGCGAGGCCATCTACTGCTGGTGCCCAGAAATTTGCGCTACTAACCACGAAAAATACGCCAACCTGATGTGTTGGGTCGACGACACCTACTTCGTCCCATTTCTAGACAGGATCCCACACCCAGAGGAAGTTAGACAGAGAAAGATAACTTACTACCAGTGGGTTCCCATCATCTTGATGCTCCAAGCCCTCATGTTCCTGGCTCCATGGATCGTTTGGAGGGTCCTTGCTGGCAGGGTAGGGATCAAATTGGGAAACATCATCCAGGCGGCTTGCAAGTCCCAACTGTCTGATAAGTGTGAGGAGAGAGAGGCGGCACATAAGTTTGCCTTCTACCTCCTCAACAGGTTTGTCTTACCTTTCTGTTTAGCAGTTGTTTCGTATTTAAAAATTGTGTTTTGATGAAATTTTTGTTGAGTTTGTTATTAAAAAATAAATATTATATGTAGTTTTATTTTTTTCATGCAAACGTTTTATAAGTACTTTATTTTTAAATAGTTGCATGATAAAATCTACTTTATAAATTTTCTTATTAAACTTAAAAGAATCTCAGCGATATATGAATCTATCATTAAAAAAGATAAATGTTTTCTCAGATTCCTAACACACAGGCAACGACACCAACACTACAGCCGGCACCATCCCCATCATCAGCACCACCACCAAACGTCACCACCACTACCACACCTGATATCCCCATCGAAATGTTTCAGCAACACATGCCACTTCTTCAAGCCACACCTCTTCACCAGCTACATCGTCGTCAAAATCCTCTACCTAACAAACAGTGTAGGACAGTTATTTTTACTGGACAAATTTTTAGGTGTGGAGTTCTATACATTCGGCTACCACGTTCTCACGTTCCTGATCGCCAACCGCCAGTGGACACCCACCGATCGATTTCCACACGTTACGATGTGTGATTTCAGAATCCGCCAGAGCACAAACGTGCACCAATACACCGTTCAGTGCGTCCTTCCAATAAACATCTTCAACGAAAAAGTCTTCACCGTCATCTGGTTCTGGCTGGTTATCGTCGCAGCCATCACGCTGTGTTCGCTGCTTGGCTGGGTATGGTCTATGACTCTAGGAACGACGATTTCTGAATACGTCAAAGAGAATTTATCCGTTTTAAATATGTACATAGCCGAGGACCAAGTAGAACTTCAGAGTTTAGAAATATTCGCGAAGAAGTACATTGGCCGCGATGGCATGTTCATTTTGAAATTAGTGGCGAAAAATTCTGGTGAGTTAGTAGCTGCTGAGCTGTTGCAGTCCTTGTGGGCACACTACGGACAGAACTGTCACCGGTCTTATGTGAATTATTTGGCTATTGGAGGTCAGAAGAGCAAGACTCGCACGGGTTTAGGCTGTTCGATTTTGAAGAAAAGTAAGAGCGTCCGAGTTGAGATCCCTGATGTACAAGATGTCTAGGCCAAGTTCTTTTTTCTAATTTTTCTTTTCATATTTTCATATTTTCTTATTTATTTTATAATTTGAAAATTTATAAATGTGCTTTTGATTTTTCGATCAATTATTTCCTGTTTTCAATTTAGTTATTTTGATTTGTCGTCAATAATATTGAAATAATTTCATGTAGAAATTGAAATTTGAAATGAAAAAGATTTCCTTAGCAGGGCTACCTAGCGAAAGTTTTTAAAATTACAAAATCTTTGTTTAGTTCAAATAAAAAATTTGTCCCAAGATTTAAACGTTGAAAATTTGTTGATAAATGTTTCCATTTTATTGTTTCAATTATTAATCAATTACATAATTAACTAACTAATTTACTAAATAATAGAATAAAAAATCAATTTAATAGAAATTTATTATTCATCAGAACCAAATAAAAATAATGAAATAAGTTTTAGTTTTAAAGAACTGTTCAACAGCGTTTTTTTATAATTACTAATCGACCAACCAACCAACAAACAAATGAATGTATGGAGGTAAAATTTTTAATCATTAATTCAATAAAATAAAATGCTATATTAACTCAGTTCAATTACCTCTATTGTGTTTGGCATGGAGTGGTATTATTATTATTCATTTATTCTTTCGTTCGTTCATTCATTCATTCATCCATATATACATTCATTCATTCATATATACATTCATTCATCCATTTCATTCCTTCATTCATTCATATGATTATACAGTCATATCAGCAGTCATGGGTACATTTTTTTGTTATAAACGCATGTGTAATAAAACGCTCCAGTCAATAAATTAATTTTCATATAAAATTCACCCTATTAGGTATTCACTCACCAAGAGCTTTAAATTCACGACGGACAAAATCAAATTTGAAAAAAAAATGAAAAATTAACTGAAAAATTTATATTATATATATATATATATTCGTGGTTTTTTTATATATGTAAATATATAATATGAAAGAATATAGTAACGTACACACACACACACACATACTTGTATGTGCAAGAAAAATAAAGTACAATGTAATGTAATTATATACGTACACACACACACACACACACACGCACACATACACAAACATGTATGTGTGTGTATATATATGAATGAGGTATATATGAACATTGTTAATTAATAATTTAACTGTAGTTGTAGATGTTTGTATGTATGTGTTTAAATGTTTATGCCCGTATTTTCCTGATTGTATGTTTAATTTTTACAATTTTTGAATTTCGTTCACGAAACATAGTATGTTTGAATTGTACGTGATGATTGTATGTAATGTTTGTATTGTATGTTTCGTTTGTATGCATTACTTTGTACGTTTGAATTGTATGTAATGTTTGTATGTATGACTTTGTATGTCTGTGTTGTATGTATACAAGTTTGTATTTATTACTTGGTATATTTGTATTGTATGTATACATTTTTGTATATATTCCTTTGTATATATGTATTGTACACAATGTCATTGTATGTCCGTTTTAAGTACAGCTGTCAAAAAAACTGACATTCTGGATGACGACCATGTTCCAGAGACAAACAAAACAAGACAAATGAGCAAACGAACGAAACAAAACAAACAAACAAACACAAAACGGACAACCATATATTCTACGGAAGGAAAAAATGTTTAAATAAAAGAAAAGAAAGAAAATAGCGTATATACAAGTTTGAAAATATAATAATTTCTAATAAATAAATTCAACCATTTCTTTAGAAATTTTTTTCCATAAAACTCAACTAAGGCTTACCGACTGAATATTATCTAAAAGGAAATGTGACATCGACTTTGAATACTTTAAATGCGAATGAAATAATGAACTGCACAAATCTAAAGACGAACAAATGATTAACAAAAACGATAGAGATGGTGACGGGTACTAGGAGAGTATTGATAATACGGAATGTTAATTTGCCAGTGGCAATGATGTTGAAATTTTTGAATTTTACAATGGTACAGATGACAATGTTGGCGTTACGACAAAATAAATAAACAAGAAATGACGTTAATTTGAGCACGATACACCCCGACAAACATGTTTCTGTCCTCTGGCGGATAAAATTTAAGAAAAGTTTACAAAGTTTACAAAATTTACAAATTCTACAAAACACTACAACTAAATACAGACAGCACGATCCCACATAGAAACGCAGTGTTCTAACAAAGTCACCGACCCTACCATCCTCTAACAACGACAAAATTGTCAAAAATGACGTCACGAAGAACGTCAACGATGCTGGTGAAGATGACGGAAATGACGAGGATGACGAGGAATAGGATGGTTGATCCGGGGCGGATCTGATCACGGGCATATCCTGGCCACTACCACTACCGCTACCACTTGTCGGCTTCAAACGCCCGTTTGGGTTGTCGGCTTGAAAGTGTGATTCGTAAGAAATGTGTCTGAAAGCTGCGTGTGTGTGTGTGTGTGGTTGTGTGTGTGTGGGTGTGTATCTGTCTTAAATGCTTGTGACAAAAAAAACGAAAAAAAAACAAAGCAGAAAACATGTAAATATGCAAATAACTGTGCAAATAACTGTGCATATGTCCGCCGATAAGATGATAAAATCAAGCGCGCTATTGTCATGAATTTTTAAAGGTTTGTATTACTTTCTGGGAGAAAAAAAATCAGAAAATAAATTCGATGTGTTTATTTAAAAGTAAACAAACATTAAAACCGTTTAAAGACAAACCAACAAACAATACAAACATACAAACAAACAAACATACTAAACATAACATACAAACGATACAAACAAACATACAAACAAACATACAAAACATACAAACGATACAAACAAAACAGACATTGCGACAGTAGTACGCGTGTATGGTTCGTGCCCATGGCATTCTCAGAGATGACCTTGTAGTAGCGAAAGTTATGCTGTTGCACGTGACGAATAAAAAATTTCGTCTCCATCCTTCCGTCACTGCAGTCCTGATAATGATTATGATCACGTGTGATGACGATGATTATGATGATGATCATGTGATGATGATTATGATGATGATGATGATCATGGTGATGATGATCAAATTATGATGACGATCACGTGACGATAGCGACGATGATGATAGCGACGATGATGATCACATTATGATGATGATCACGTGAAAATAATAATGATCACGTGATGATGACGATGATGAATGATGATGATTGGGTGATGATGATGATAGGGTTATGGTGGTGGTAGTATTGATAATGATAGCGCTAGTAATTGCCCTCAATCACGTCATTTTAAAAATCATTCTCATCTTTATCACCATCCTTGTAATTAACTTCCTCATCATTATCTTCATCACCATCACTACCACCACTACCATCATCATCATCATCATCATCATCACTTACAGTTACAGACGTGGTGTACTCATCTGTTAGAGGCCTGATGGACTTCTCACTCACTCTACCATCACCATCATCATCATCAACAACTTTTTCCACCCTATTATCACCACCATCCCTACCATCACCACCATCACCACCATCATCATTATCATCATCATTGGCGTCATCGTCGTCGTCGTCGTCGTATTCATCATCATTAGACCAGTATAGAGAGAGGAGTGTTGGCTTGGCTTGAACGGTGCACTTCAAATACACATCTTGATCTCCGAGGTAGGCGGTTGTTTGAGAGCAGAAAAACTTTGGCTTGTCTAATTCAAAATTAGATAAAAATTTGCCACCAATTGTTTACAATTTGAATTTATATTATGAAAAAATTCATTTTATAATTTATTCTTGATAGCTTAGATGGTAAGAGATCTACATTCATCGTCGTCGTCGTTCACGCGTGGCTACCCGGTTTGATTTCAGTCTTTCCCAAAACTCTGCAGCTGTAATATGCCTGCCTCGTGCCAACTTACAGCCACGCATAAACGTCCGATATGTGTATGCATGTATGTGTGTGTTGTGTGAGTGTGTGTGCGCGCGTTTGTGTGTTGTGTTGGCGTGTGTGGTGTGTGTGTGTGTGTGGTGTGTATTGTGCGTGCAACTATTTTACGTCGCAAGTATGTGTAAGATTATATATATATATATAAAGACACCAAACTACAAATTTGTCAACAACACAATCATCAACACAAACAACAGCACAGACAGCAACACGCTCAAAAACACACAACAATACAAACAATAGCATAAACAACAACACAGGCAACAACACAGGCAACAACACAGGCAACAACACAGGCAACAATACAAACAACAACACAAACAACTAAACTCACGCCAAACATTGAGAAATCTTTCGGTGAGATTAGCAACAGGAAATCCCTTGTTAGTAACCGAACACCGGATCATCTGGGCATCGTCGGAAAAGGAAAATGTCAAATTGACGCAACGTCTCGTGACGGTGTGTTGGATGACGTAGAAGCCCTCACTTCCGGAATACGACTGCAGACGGATCTCGTCGAAATAGGTAGTGATGTCACGATCAGCCAGAGAGATGTGCATGTGTTGGTGAGGGGAGTATGAACGACTGGTGCACGTTACGATGTGACGTTGGTTTTCTAAAACCGTGAAGATGTTGTTGTTGTTGTTGCTGTTGGTGGTGTTGTTGTTGTTGGTGCTGTTGTTGGTGTTTTTTATGTGAAAGTTGGCGTTTGGATTTTTGTTGAATTGGTGATAGGTATTTTTGTTGTTGTAGTAGTAGTTGTTGTTTAAAATGAAATTATTGACGTTTTTGATAGTGTTGGATGCTTTATCGCGTTTTGAAATGTTTTTATTCTTTGTTGGCGTCATCGTTGATGATTCTATGCTTAAAAGTGAACGTGGATTTTTGGCGATTCGGACAAAAAAATTGGCCTCGCTGAGGTATTTAGTTTCTTTGGTTACAATTTGGTTGCTGGGGTTGTTGTTGTTATTTAATACTTGCTGAACGATTTGTGGTTGTTGTGGTTGTTGTAGTTGTTGTATTGGCCTATTTCTGAGCGTAAGTTTAAGAAAGTTATGATAACGATGTCGATTATGATGATGACGATGATGGCTATTGTCTAAATGATCCGTTTCTAATACTCTACTTTTTGAATCAACATTTACCAGGGAACGTTTCTGCAGTCTAAGGTGTAGATGTTGTTGTGATTGGTGTATTTGTTGTTGTGGCATTTGCTGTTGTTGTGTTTGTTGTTGGCTTTGTGTTGTATAATCTCGCCTCTGTCGTTTTTGCGGAATAATTTGTTGTGATGGCTTATATTTTTGCGGTTGTTGTTGTTGAGGACGTTGTTGTTGTTGCTGCTGATGAACATAGGACGCAAACCCAGTAGCAGCCGAAGCAGTAGCAGCAGAAGCAGTAGCAGCAGATGTCGTGGTTGGTGTTGAATTAGAAATTTCAAATTCTAAAAAGTGTGACGGAGCTGAAGAGGAAAGAGGATTTTTTTTTTTGAAGAAAAAAATTTTGAATGAAAAATCTTCATTTAAAATTTACGTTTGAAAAACAAAAATTCAATGGAAAATTGTATACACAACATGCAACATATAGAGCTATGTAAACTGGTGTATAAAATATACATGTATATTATATTATTTTTATAATATTATAAAGTTTTGCTCATATAACATTTCTCCAAAAATAAAAAACTCCATAAAGTGCGAAAAAATAAAATTTTTTTAAGAAGACTATTGATAGAAAAATGTTGTACTGATTGTGAGTGTAAGTTAGAAAGAAATTTGTACGTGAATGTTGCTTATTGTGTTCAAATGCTGACCAAAAATAATTAAGAAATTTGAAAAAATTTATTCAAAAATTTCAATTTATAAACAATTTAAATTAGCTTCGTCTATAATTTTATTACCACATTCACATTTTTTGCGATAAGCGTATTCGAACGCAGTCAGAACAATATCAGCTTCAGGCGCGCTATCAATTAGGCCACCGAATTATGTGATAAATTACTAAGTATACAAACTTCATCACATATACAAACACTTATAAACATACAAATAAATATACAAACGTGATTACACATACAAGCGCGTAGAAAAATACAAACAATTCTTACAAAATGTATGTAACACGGCAAAAACGATTGAAATGTCATGCCACATCTAATCGTCTGTCGATAAGTCCCAGTTCAAACGCATTACTGAACAATTTGGGATTGAGTTCGTTGTGTTGTTTTGTGTTAAATAGAAAATTTGCGAGACACATACACACACACACACACACGCACATACACACGCATGTATACACATACACACGCAAACACACACATACATACACTCATACACATACACACATACACACAAACACACACATACATTCAAGTATTCACACAGATACACATGAAAACTTTCCAAATTATCATTTGGAAATAACAATCTTACATTATCAAATCTTAGAAAAAAGCTCGGTCTGTCTAGATGAATCTACACTTATGAAAATTAAACAAGCTTAATACTAATGTATTAAATAAAAAAGATAACAAAAAACACACACAAACACGTACACACACACACACACACACACGTACATACACACATACACACACACACAAACAAGCAAGCAAACATTGATTTACATATAAAAGTTACAAATAGAAAACATGCTCATGTTCATGACGTAAAAAGTCAAAAACTTATATGTTGGCGTCTACAAAATACAGAAGACAGAAACACACACATACAAAGAACACAGACATGAGGTCTGACATGGTGCTGGCATCAGAGAATACGTATTCAGTTATCGTTCTAGCTTCTTATTGGTTTTGGCTGCACAGGCATAAAAAGGAATGTCTGCTGTATTAGCAAGCTGTGGCTACAGTGATACGATTTCGTATGTGAATAGAAAGATGAATATTGGTGTCAATAGCAGATCAGCACCGCTGAAAAAGCATCAGTTTTCAAAAAGCGTTCGAGTGATCAGCGAACGTGGCCCGGTCCTTCGAGAATGCAAGGAGGTTGTTAAGGATCGAGTCGATGATTTGTCTCAACTGAGTTCTCACATACATACATGCCTAGTGGGGACGATGTTGCAGTAAACACAACATACAGTCATACCCACATGTACACACACACATACATACATAACCACAAACACACACACAAACATACAAACAAACATATAGTACACATACGTACATGCACAGATACAAATATAATTTAAATTTTTATGACGCATAAACTAGGAAGACACAAAGCGGAGTCAAAAAAAAGCAACAATTGAAACGGAAGCCATAAACCAAAAACTATAATAATAATAATAATAATAATAATAACCGCGACAACAACAATAATAATAAATATAATGAGATAGAGAATAATGATAATGATAATCTGCATTATCATTGTAATCTTCGTCGTCGTCATTATCATCATCATCATCATCATCATCATCATCATCATCGTCATCATCATCATCATCAGAGTTCAGTTATTGGTACGTTCATCCATCAGTTGGTCATTTTGTGGCATCATTCAAAGGATAATCAAAAGATTGATTGAATGAATGAATGAATGAATGAATGAATGAATGAATGAATGAATGAATGAATGAATGAATGAATGAATGAATGAATGAATGAATGAATGAATGAATGAATGAATGAATGAATGAATGAATGAATGAATGAATGAATGAATGAATGAATGAATGAATGAATGAATGAATGAATGAATGAATGAATGAATGAATGAATGAATGAATGAATGAATGAATGAATGAATGAATGAATGAATGAATGAATGAATGAATGAATGAATGAATGAATGAATGAATGAATGAATGAATGAATGAATGAATGAATGAATGAATGAATGAATGAATGAATGAATGAATGAATGAATGAATGAATGAATGAGTGAATGAGAGACTGAATTAGTGAATGAATGAATGAACAAACGAATGAATGAATGAACAGAATAATAAATAACAAAAGGTAAATAAACGAATGAATGAATGGAATAACGAATGAACAACCAAACGAACGAACGAAATAGGGCATGAATGAACGAATGAATGAACAAATGAATGAATAGTTGATTGATTGAATGAACAAACGAATGAACGGAAAAATAAACAAACGTTCAAAAGATGATCAAACAGAATGATCAAATGATCGAACGATTGAATGAATAAATAAATGAAAAAAAAACTGGAAATAAAATAACAAAATACAAGAAAGAGTTACATTTTTTCAAGCAAAACAAAAAAGTAAACATGGTTATGATAGAACGAACGAACAAACAAACAAACAGCATGAACAAACACATGTATGAACTTGTTCGTTTTTAAATTCACAAACCACCTCACTTAATCCTGAGCGTAATTATGAAGTTATTGCTTGGGCGTAAATTATTTTCAGAATATTTCAGAAATTTTTAACTTTGGAAAAAAAAAGTTACTAATAGAACTTTCTGTGAAAAAAAGCTGCAACATCTACACCACACCACAAAACACGACATCCACACGACGTAACGTCCCACGCCACACCACGCGACAGCCACATGATACGACACGACATGGAACCATCTTGCGATGTAGGTACATACACATTTGAACATTTAATGCCACACACACATACACACACCACACAACACACACACACGCACGCACACACAACACGTTTGTTTTGTAATAGTAACAACGTTGGAGACTCGAATGGATGGTTGAATGATAGATCGAGTGAAGAAATGAATGAATGGACAAATAGATCATTGAATGATTGAACTAAAAAACAAACAAACGAACAAATGAATGAATAAACAAAAAAAACGAACAGATGAACGATAAATAATCAAACGATGAATGAACAAAAGAACAGACAAATGAATGAATGAACAAAAGGACAGACAAATGAATGAATGAATGAATGAATGAATGAATGAATGAATGAATGAAAAAAATGAATGAAAAAAATGAATGAATGATTGAATGAATGAATGATCGAATATAACTTCGAAGATCCATCAATAATATTATCAACCGACATTTTAGTGGTGCTTTCGTGACGAAAATGTGGATGATGATGATGATGATGATGATGATGATGATGATGATGATTGGGATGAGATGATGATAATGATGACGAATGAGATGAGGACAATGATAATGGTAGTAATATAAAAAAATTCCTCAAAATGTAAACGAAATCAATTTCTTTGAATACATACAAAACAAGCTAGCTACCACTAAAATATTTGCATTTACATTATAAAAAAAAACACAAAATGTTAGCATGTACAATTTATATGAAGCACACACAAACACACACACACATACACACACATATATTTATTCCTAGTAACTGTCTTCATCATTGGCGCCATCAATCACGTGATCATCTCCACGTGTCACATTCCATGAAACCATGTCAATTATTGTTGTTGTTGTTGCTGCTGTTGTTGTGTATGTTGCCGATGCACGTTCATGTGTGTGTGTGTGCGTGTGTGTGTATGTGTGTGTGTGTGTGCGTAAACACGACGCGCACAACATACTACACATATTCATACACACAAAATACAACAATCACACACACAACACACACGCACTTAATACAAGCACAAACACACACACACACAAACAAACAAACACAAACACACAAACAAAAACAAACACACAAACAAACACACGCACACGCACGCGAACAAACACACGCACACCAACTAACCTATGGGGCAATTTTTTATCACTCAAAACACCACACGCCAACAGAACAGTAAAAATATACAAATGATTGACAGTCTGGAAAAGAAAAAGAAAAATATGTCGTGTGTATGTGTGCGTCTGTGTGCATGTGTGTGCGTCTGTGTGCGTGTGTATAACGTCAGAAAGAGTGCTTGCACCCACGCCACCAACTCGTAAGTAATAACGCGAAGAAAGGAAATAATGATTTAACGTGGGGGACTTTATATTCATGATGGAGTGAAAAAAAATCGAGGTTTTTGTGGAGACATTTTTTTGTGATTTTCTCAAAAAATATATAAAAATTATAGCGAAATAATAAAAATTATATTATCATTAATGGCTTTTATCAAGGAAAGTCTGAATTCTGCCAGGCTGGTGGGGTTACCGCTTGCTGACCACCACATAAAACGGTGCCACCACGTAAGTGTGACTTTACAAAGGTGTTGATTTCAACGACAAATACGGGCCACACGTAAACATACCGATAAATGGATGAATTTAGGATGATTTTAACGGTTGACTATTTGTCAACATCACTGGCTCCAATGAAGAAAATGCTCAGAAAATGTTAACCGAGCCAAAAATCTTAAGTATCTCTATGTAAATACTTAAAATTAAAAATAT